TATATATATATATATATGTATATTTGGTGATGCCATCATAAAGGAAGTATAATAAATGAGCTCAGAGATCCGTAGAGGCACCAACCTGAATGACTCACCAATGTGGATGATCAACGGGGAGAACCGTCCCAGTACTAAATCGTATGGACCTTAAGCCCGTCTGGGATGCGCTTATATCGTGTTTCTCTAATTTACTCATCGAATTCTATTTTTCACATTGTAACACATTTCTGTCTTTCTCTGGTGAGATTTCTGATGTCAGAAGTGCACATGGGATGTCGCACACAACCAGTTTACCTAAGCCAGTTTCCAGTGAATCGTACCTGGACAAAGTTAGATTGCTTACAATCGTGCATGAATCAGATGTAGTTAACGGTTCAAAAAGTTCAGATCAACAAGTGGAAACGCAGTGCCACCTGGTTCAATGATAAAGATATCTAAATACGTACATTTCATGACTAAGACATTTGATATTTCAAGATAGAACACTTACGAAAACTGTAGAAGGCTTTGGAATAGTGGATACGAAGCATACAACAACTTAGGAGCACAGATAAATTTTTGCTTCTAGTCCCCCTCAATTTGTAAGATGGCACTTACCGTCCATGCACCCCAGAGTCCGTCCGGGGCTTCATACAGATCTATATCGAAATTAAGATCTTTCATGAGTTCCATTAACAAGTCCATTGTCAGCCCTGAACAGCATCCATCGACATAGTCGGATGCGTTAAACGGCAGTGTGTTGTTGACCAGCCCTCTCTCTTTCTGATAAGACGATGTTTTATCGAAGGTTACATTTTCTCCCGTAGCATGCCGTGGTGATTCTGTTACCGAGGAGAAGCGAGTTCTTTCCGTGGCCTGGATGACCGGATCGGTGTCAAACATTGATTCAGGCCGCAGTTTACAAGGCAGAGAATTTCCGTCACATTTTCCATCCTCCTAAGCCGGCGAAATATGGATTCAGGGCAATTATGCATTAAAAATATATACATGTGCTTGAAATTTGTGTGCAGTTTACTTAACAAACATCCACACATTAGATTCATATAGCAAACTGTAAAGTTTTCTGGAGGAAATACGACAAAATGTAAGCTGTGTAACCAAAGAGACAAATTTACTAGGTATTGCTGGACGGTTATTTGATATTTAGCCTGGAAGTCGAACAAGTTCTGTGAGGTTTGACGCGTCAGGATGCTAGATTGTTCATCCTCAAGCAATAACGTCTGAGAGAATGAATGAGAATGAAAAGGGAAAAAAGAACGTTTACGGGTTTTGGAACATCAGTATCGACGATCAGAGCGCAGAGCTGTACCACATCGCATGTATCACCTCTACCCAGACTTGCACCACCACTGTTCCAAATGAACTCGAGATCACTCAGTAGTCGGAGCGGGTAAGCCCTGCCCAGGCAAGGATGGAAGTGCAGCGGTAGAGGTGCTTTCACGAGATGCGTGTTTAAGGTAGGGGGCTAGACACTCGGCTCGATGCACGCACTAGTAAAAAAAAGCAGGCTTGACTAAACGACCATCTCGTTTGAAAATATGCAATTCACCAGTGTGGCGGAGGTTGCGGACACAAGCAGTCCGTTAGACAATGGAGTGTGCAGTTTGGTCCTACGTAAGTCTGTGTTCGTGACCCATGGCTGTCGTGTTTACTGTTAAATGATTGGACGAGTAACTCAAGACGAAGGCGGTCGGCTTGTATGCTGACTGCCTTGGTGCACTTGTGAGTTAGAAAACATTGAAATGAAGACCCGCTGCGCCATGACAAAATTACATGGTGAAAACAATCAGGACACGAACGAACTGGGCAGGGAATCTACTGTGTGCGTCAAATCGGTTCATGTATTATCTGGGATGGTGGTGTACGTTTTTAGGATTTTTTTATAGCCCGGTGACCTGAAAAAAGTACATCAGGAGCGAAATAGGATGAAGTGGGCCGAGGAACACGCCCCAAGTAATCTCGGAAGTATGTGGTCCACATTCTGCATAGGCTAATCTAATTATTCAAATTAGTTTTTTGGACACCTAGTTTCTTTTCTAGCTGTGGGAATACTGAGGGACTGGAAACAGCTGTCTCACGAATTTGGTTGCCGTCTCTGCAAAGAAATCAGGTAGTTTGACTGCAGGTAAGTTGAGTTGTTACGGCAGATCTCACGTTATACTTCTTCCAACATAAGACCACAGACCTATGCAACTGGGTTCTCACAACGCAAGCCGAAAGGGTGGAAACATTCATAACGGTGGATCGGAAGGATAGCGAATGGATAGTCCATTCTTTGGCTTCAAATTACATCTTGTAAGCAAGGGTAAGGGCAAGGTGGTCTCTGTTTTTAGGATTGCCATTTGATGTGTCCTCTGTTTTCCACCTGTAGGAACACGTAGTTTTGACAGCGCATGGAAAATAAAAAAAGACGCACCTAATAGAAAACAGTTTTGGATCGTACGCACAAATTACAAGGTCCACAAGGATGGAAAGAGCTGGTGTTGTATTTCACGCAGCAGATTGGTTAAACGAGCTTAAGGATTTTGGTTGTTTAGTCTGACGGAATTCATGGTTGCCCCAGCTCTAGGAAATTGCGGCGCAGAAAGTGCCTATGGGGATTACAACGGATGAGTAGATCAAAAACATAGACGGCTCTCAACGGTAGTAAACTGTGAGCCTTAATTTGCATATTTTCGCTGCTGATCACGACTAGAATAATGAAACCCACCAAAGAAGGACTAGCAACTGTCCCGAATCCATCACACCGAGCTATACGTCTGTGAAAGACGGGAGTTAATTTGATACTTGGTCGAATGAGCTTCTGAAGTGAATGATGATAAACATCACGTACGATTTTTCGGTTTATCCGTTTTAGCACAGGCGAACATTGCTTTCCGTCGTGAAGCAAGGAAGTAGGTCTGCAGATTTTGTGTTGTTTATGTTGCTGTTGTCGTTGTAGTAGTATCTTTGAATTCGCCTCTGTACGACTTTTTTGGTCGCAGGGTGAAGATGAACTTCCTGAATAAGAACTCATGGGATTCAGATCTCTACTCGAATTGTATGTAAAATACCTAATCCTTAAAAAATCTAGACACAATACAAGTGATAAAATTAGGCTGGGAAGGGAACATCACCTTTCCAAAGTAAAACGTCTTATTTATGTATCATCCAGGGCTATAATGGCCTGTACATGTAGAACATTCAGCAACCCCACTCGAACAGCTTTCAAAACCCGCTGTGCTACAAGCGTGCGTCAACATCTAATGAACAAGCAGTCTATCCCCCCACATTATAAGAAATGGAATGGAGAATGTAGATGGGTTACAGAATGTGGATTGTGAAGAAAGGTTCATGTTTGTCAGCCAGTTCCCTTAAAATGTTCTCCACGCTAAAGGTGACCTGATCGTCAGTCGACGATCAATGTGAGGAGACTCCGGACTTAAACTGTCAGCCGATATGAGGCTACGCATTGAAGACTAAAGAAAGGGACAAGGTTGCATTGCTCAGAAACAGAGCACTTACAAACTCCATGTGGATCTCAGCATTGTTTGTACAGCACCTTTCTGTCGTGGTAGAGGCTTATGTCATCATATTCAAATGCATCAGATGATCATCCTGCAGTAATCTCAGCCACAACAACCAGGTAAACACAGACTAACTAGAAAACTGGGGGCACAGGGGGTTGTCCAACTTAGGTCCACGGAATGGATACTGGATACTACTAGGTTCTTAGGAATAATATAGTCGTATAGCAGTATAGCAACCACTTGGCGAAGAAATTTTCGACGAGTCACAGTGTATTCTGCTTTACGGCGCATATTGAGAAGCGCAACCGAATGATTAATCATATACGAACATTTTAAAAACGTCCTAGGTTTTCGGTAGCTGAGTATGCTTGAAATAGAAACTACAGTCATATGTACTGGTCAAAGTGGATGGAGAAGTCAATGAAGTGTGGGTGATGCTTTGAATCAGACTGAACGATTCTATAAAAAATTCTAAGTGGTGTGGTTTAGCATACCATACAAGTTACTGTTGCGCTTGCATCGCCCTTTAGGAATAGCTTTCTTCTTTCTGCAAACTACACGAGGTACTCAACTGTATGTGGTTCCGTCGACATAGCTGAACAAAAGCAAGCCAGGGTGGAGAATTTGAGATGAGGTAATGACGACTCTAAAGTAACCGAGTGTTAAGGCAGCTAAAACTTATTTTAATTGTGTATTGTTGATTGGAAAACATACGAACAAACTTGAAAAGGCAGACAGCTGCGGGAAAAGTCTAGCGTGTCCGACTAAAAATGAAAACACCAACAAACCGCCGATTACCAGGGTAACCCAGCAAGAAAGGCACAATCAAGTAAGGTGTTTAGCATTTCATGTGTTCAGAACAAAACTGTAAAAACGAGAAAAGAGACTCTGGTCAAACTCAAGACTTCCCTTAAATAATTGATTGTAGGAAGAGAGACCCGAATATTCTAACCTAAACAACTAATTCTTGTTTATCCTGCCACATTGCCCTAACATGATTACTCACGTTTTTCTAGTAAAGCTTTGGTTCCTGTGGATTTATCATTGATTTTCAAAGTGGGTTATAAAAAAGACCGAATCCTATTAGTTTCGAACCAAAATTTAGATCGATTTTCCTTTCAGTCGAAAGAAGGCTGCGTTTTGTCCTTTTTTGTGATATTTATTTATTTGTGACTTTTTTAAACGAAATTCTCCGCGGCAGAAATTGAAAAAGAATCAAGTTCTATCGATTTTACTGTCATGGTTTTGAAAACTCAAGAACCCGAAAGAGCCAACCAACACATGAGGGACCGGGCTACACACGTTGTGAGCACCGATAGAAGCTTCTGTCTGAGGAGCCTCGACATTTCCCCACAGCTTTCTTAACTTACTCGTGGTTACCTAAAAAATATGCTCACAGGCTCCCTGTTGAACCATCACATTTTAAAGAATCCGTCTGGTAATCAAAAATGCTACGCAACATATCCTCTTATAGGACAGATTACAATTAGGTTCCAGTTAGATCAAGCAATACGTTGGCTGATTCTAGTTACGTTTTAGTAAGAGCTATTTCCTATGAACTGCTTTTTTCGTTTACTCATATTTATCCATCTAATATCATGCATTTATCTTTTGTCATTTATCCTTATTCCTGAATCACCTACTAAGATCGAATTCTTCTTGTATGGTACCGAAATTCTAAACGGGCTTCCATGGCCCAACTAGGTCTCAGAAGTGGATGGCTCGGTGCTCCTTTACGTGTGTTAGCAAACTGTTTTCGCGCTTGTCGTTTATTCCTTGATGGCGTCACCCGTCGATTCGAGTGAGCGAATATTATGCGCAGCAGCTAGTAACTTAGCCAGAGCGCCAAAATAAGCCATTTCACGAGCATCTATTCGATACCAATTTTAATGCTAATTATCCACTGACTTTTAAGGTGAATTTTAGGCAAGAACCGAAGGTATTTAAGCCATTTTGGGTTGCGAGGTTCTCTGGGTGTTACCAACTATCTGCATCCGATTAATTTCACGATCAAACACTCCAAGTCATGTGCTGAAAAAAATGGGCACCGTAGTATTCCGAAAAAACGGGCTTCCATGGCCCAACTAGGTCTCAGAAGTGGATGGCTCGGTGCTCCTTTACGTGTGTTAGCAAACTGTTTTCGCGCTTGTCGTTTATTCCTTGATGGCGTCACCCGTCGATTCGAGTGAGCGAATATTATGCGCAGCAGCTAGTAACTTAGCCAGAGCGCCAAAATAAGCCATTTCACGAGCATCTATTCGATACCAATTTTAATGCTAATTATCCACTGACTTTTAAGGTGAATTTTAGGCAAGAACCGAAGGTATTTAAGCCATTTTGGGTTGCGAGGTTCTCTGGGTGTTACCAACTATCTGCATCCGATTAATTTCACGATCAAACACTCCAAGTCATGTGCTGAAAAAAAAT